AGCTGAAATGAATATCATTCTAAAAATGTCTATACACACTGTAGAACTTATTCTGGTAGTAGTGCTTGAAGGAAAGCAGTCATAAAGCACTTATACTGCTCTTTTGTTGGTTTGATTGCTTTTATTGTCCTCATTTGTAAGTCGCGTTGGATAAAATGGTCTGTTAGCCTAAATGATTAAATGTAAATCAAATGTGACTCTTGAATAAAAGCTTTATAAACAATAACATACTCACTGATGGTTTTAATACACTAATTGACTGTATTTGATAGTTAAAATTATTACAAATTCAGGTTTTCGTCACCACCGTCAGATGTGTCAACTCCGTCAGTTCTGTCACCTCCGTCAGTTGAATATTTTGATAATATTTCATTATGATATTTTATATTTGTTGTGGAATTGTTGATCACACGTGAAAGTGTAATCTGTCTGCTAACACGAGAATGTGTTTTGAAATGTTAAAAACATCTTGAATGCTGTTAAAGATAAAGCTGAAATTATATTACACAGTCCAAGCTAAAAAAAGCACATTTTGTTAAAAAAGAGAAAAGTTGGGAGGTTGTATCAAAGCATAGCTCAGTAGCTTAGTACATATAAGATACATAAATGTAGTTTCATTTGTCTGAGTACAAGGTTTTATTTTTTCAATTTTGCACCGTTTTGTCCCACTTCTCAAGAATGACTGAAATATAAATGTTAAACGGCTACAAGTTAAAAGTAGGCTAATAAACTACAACATGTAAGTCTTAACTTTGTACTATGGAGATTAATTAGCCTATACTTTTCTGTGGATTGGGTGTGCTAATATTTTTTTTTCTTAAAAAAAAAAAAAAAATTTTTAATAAATAACCAATTCAACAGGCTATAATTGACCCCTAAAGGCCCAAAATTGTATCTGGCGACTTGGAGGTGGGCTCTTTTAACTTGGGACAGTTAGCAAGCACCTAAAACCACCCAGATCACACTATAAATCACATAGCAAAGCTCTAAAAACCGCCCTGAACATCTTAGCAACCACATAACAATGCTCTAACAACCAATCCAAACACCTTTGCAACTGCACAGCAAACTTATCACAATGTCGCAAATCCATATGACGTTCTTACATTTTTGTATAGGCCTAATCTGCTCTCGCCCCATGAGGGCTAGGTTTAGGGATGTATTTTCACTTTTTTGAATACAAATCATACATTTCCACGTGAATCACATAATACAAATGTGTGTACAATTGCAAACAGTTATGCTTTCTCATGCGATTGGATTGAACAAGGATGCGCCTTCATTTAAAGTTTAATTTGGAAAATAGAAAACTCAGGACAGAAATCTTGAGTTATTTAGGAAACAGTCTAATTATTGTTAATGGCCACACGCTCTCAGTCCACTCCATGCAGGAGATTATACTGGAATTTTGGTTACTGACTGGTAGACATAACGTCAATAGCTTTTCAGTGAAGTGAACTGCTAGATCTGTTATTTAACTTGCTTGCAAAACATGCTTCGTGTGCAAGATGTGGAAATGTGACTTGCTTCATGCATATGAACAAGAACAAACAAAACACCTACAATAGGAAATGAGTCTCTAAAGTAAACACTAAACAGTACACAGGGTTGTTGTGATACACACTGTTACCGTAAAGTGTTGAATGACTCGCTATTAGTAAAAATAAATGAGCAGAGAGCGAGAGAAAGGCAAGTGATCCTGTCCCTGGAGCTGAATCACTCTGCACAGGGATAAGATGTCAAAACCAGGAATAGACCAGAGGGAACACGAAACGCACACACACAGTGAAGTGCACACGCAATCACACACTTTTTAATGTTCTGAGCTAGTGAGTAATGAATGGACCTTTTATTAAAGGAAGAAATCAGTTTCTTAGTGAACTTTTGAGATTATATTTTAGAGAAAGTGTACTATGCGTTACCTAGTTCTTAGAAAACAACTTATATGATAGTTTGGATAGTTCTACAGCTTCAGTTTCGGAACTTTCACGCTTAGTAACACATACAGCTGTTCCCTCACCACAGTGCAACAGTGAAAAAGGACCCCTTTCAAACAGTGTCGCGTTCAGAACGTTGTTTAAGCGACATACGGTTAATACATACATACGACATACATATTGCGGTATTTTAAAAATTCATATCGTAACAAAAATAAACACCGGTATTCGGGATGAACCGGTATACCGCCCAGCACTAGTTTGGAGCATATTAATGTAAGTAGTATCCTTCAGGTGTGTTTTTTTTTTTTAACTACTCAGCCATTATTGTAAGGTCGTTAAAATGCACCATAAATTAATTTCACAAAGGAGCCATTTCCGATAAACACTGTCCAGACTAGTGTCCTGATGTCCTGCTTACTGTAAATGAAACTGGCAACTCAACCCCTCTACTCTCTCACCACACGCACAAGCACAGTCAGTGCAATTCAAAAACAAACAGCAACTAATCAACACCTCCCTAACACAGCTAACAGATTTGCATCTGGTGATGACGGTTGTATAAAGTCGAGACCGGAGTGTTAATCAAAGGGATAGTTTACCCAGAATTTACGCACCCTTGTGTTGTTCCAAACTTTTATGACTTTATTTCATCTGTGGAACATAAAAGGTGTTGTTTAAAGAATTGTTTGTCCATACAATGAAAGCAAAACAAAACACAAAACAAAAACAAAACAAAACAAAAAACATTTTCTTTTGTTTCCAACAGAAGAAAGAAATGCATACACGTTTGGAAAAACATGTGGGTGAACTTATCTCTTTAATTAAGAACATTCAAAAGTGGGCAACCCTAAAAATAAACCACCAAATCTAAAATAGTATGTTGTAAAACTGCATCAACCCCCACAACTGTAAATATCTCCTTCCACCTCTATTATTTCCCTATACACACACTAGGACGAGTTGAGAAATCGTGATATGCAGAATACAGAAATCATGTAGCGTATAATGGGCACAGACTCTTTTATCTTCAGACGATGAATCCGTTCAGTCGGAGGATATCAAACATGTTTGATATTTTGAGATGATTTTAGAACACATTGTTTTAATCTTCTGGCAACGATGCGCACATGCGAGTTTGCTGTGTTCAGAATGACTTGAAAGTCTGGTAGTGTGTGATCCTCAGTCGTTTAGTGTAACGTCCAGTTTGTTTTCTGTAACCATTTACAAAGTCAGCAAGTTTATGATGCCTAGTGTTTTAAAATCTGTAGTATTGTTATTTTCCAGCCTTAAAGGGTTAGTTCACCCCAAAATGAAAATTATGTGAATACTTTTTTTTTGTGCAAAGAAAACAAAAATAACAATTTACTCAACCATTCTTCTCCCCCGAGTTGCGTCTTCCGCCATTTTGGAGAGTACCCAAGAACGTATTGGATGTAATCAGCGTTGTTTACGGTCAGGGGAAAGCATGCGTATGCATTGTAATACTCTCTAAAATGCCGGAAGACGTAACTCAGGGGAGAAGAATGGTTGAGTAAATTGTTATTTTTGTTTTCTTTGCGCAAAAAATCGAATCGTTCGTTCTTTTGTCACGTGACGTGACAGCATTGGATAGAGAAATTAGTTAATTTACAAGCTTCCTCACAAACGGGTGCATAGTTATTATTATAATTATTATTATTATCATCACATGGACTGTTTTACCGATGTATACTACGTTTCTGGACCTGGGAACATTACAGTTGCGTTGCTGTCTATGGAGGGTCAGCTAGCTCTCCGATTTCATCAAAAATATCTTAATTTGTGTTCTTAAGTAGTGATGGGAAGTTCGGATCATTTTACCGACTCGGACCTTTGAGTCTCGTTCAGCAAAATGAA